TTTTTAAGAAATATATTTTTCACCCGGGCAAAGCCGGGTACTTCCGCTAGTATTAAATAAATAAATAAAGAATTTTTTAATAAATAACTAAAGAGAAATCGCACTAAATCGATAATCGGTCCGATTTAAAGTTTAGAGACGAAAAATCGGAAATGCCTAAGTTTACCGCGGGCCGGGGGCGTGCCCACCTGCAAAATTTTATCTCGCCGAACCCCACGGTCCGAGAGCTAAATCCCCCGGTAGGGAGCGTACGCAGACGGACGGACAGACAGACAAAAATGAATTATATAGGTTAGGTTGTTCTTGTGCCAACGCCGCACAATCACCAATATACGTTGGTGAAGGTTCATTCACAGACATTAACAATATCCCCCATGAGCTATGAACCTCTTTCTACTATGTCCAGCTCAAGGTGGGGTCGTCATGTCGTAAACTCAATCGTACGTAAAATCGATCAAAACAACAATAGGGGCCGTCCATGAATGACGTCATGCGATTTCGAACGATTTTTGACCCCCCCCTCATCACACGGCGTCACAAAAAGTTATACTCCCCCCCCCCCCAAAATAAAACATGCTTCAAATCGCTTTAAACTATTGTCATTGTAGTGCTTATTTAATGTGGCGCTGCACTCTGATGTTGTAGGAGAAAACATTTATTAAAAAGTCTATTTAATTAAGTAGAACGTGTTGTCAATATTTATTTAAAGTTGCGCATTTTTATCTGACGTCACATTTCTCAACCCCCCCCCCCGCCCTCGTCACACATCGTCACAAATGTCTGACCCCCCCCCCACCTAGGTGCGTGACGTCATTGGACGGCTCCATACAGAAGCACAGCGATTAACATATATTATACTCATGATAAATGACACATTCACAGTTCGCAAATCACAGTTGCAAATGTGACCGCAGTTGACATCGACTGTGAGTTGCATGTCTCGAGGTAGAGTTCACCAAGCGGGAGGGAGGCACCGGCGCGAGCCTCGAGACAGACTCTGGTTGGCGGGACACTCAACAGACAAGCTGACGGCCGTCTGAGACACCTCCTCGAGTTTGCCAGCAGTGTTCAAGTGTGATTCCTGATTCAGCACTCGCTAATTCACTCCGAATTCAACTATTTATCTTGTGATGCTGCGTTGGCAGTAGTGCACAAGCACTATTAATCCACACTATTTTTTATTTTACCAGGTTAGGCCCACTGAACAATATATCTTGTTTTTCAGAAGCGACCTGGCCACAAATGATAGCTCAACGAAGTGGCTTATCATGTGGAGATTTTATAGCAGCCAAAGCGTGTTTCTAAACGTGGAGGGGAAAACCCCCGCAGATAACTCCACCACGGGGAGAAAATGCAGACTTCAAATATATACAGGCGTCAGGGTAGAGATCGAACCCACGACCTGCATATCAGGTGAGGTAGTTAACATCTCGCCATCGTGGCGCCCCGCATAATAGTACAAAAACAGAGATGGTAAAGAGGTGGAGTCAATAAGATTTGGACATTTTACGCCATGGAGATTGATTAGAATGACATGTTTTAAATGTTTTCTGATGCCCAGTTTAAAATGGAATGTGAATCGTCACTTAATAGCTATTGAGTAATAGACAACCCCTTCGATAATCACAAAGTAATACTCCTAAAGAGACTCAGGATACAGGACTGGGTTCCAGTTGTCCTGAAAATATCACCCTTCAAAGCATGGCTATAAAAAGATAGTCCTTAATGGCCATGTCTTAAGGAGCAACACAAGCAATGGCAAATGTTTTGTAAAAAAATGTGCCTTCGGTGTGCGTTCCAATAAAACACAAAACGTCAGGGAGCTAGAGTACACCTGTGAGTTCACAACTCGGTCGACCAGACACGGACTGTATCGTCTCACCCATACTGTGTTCAACCACCACACTGCAGGCCCCCACAACACACTCATCCACCACACTACAGGCCCCCACAACACACTCATCCACCCACCCACTCATTCCCCCACCCACTCATCAACTCTCCCACCACACTCCAGGCCCCCACAACACACTCATCCACCCACCCACTCATTCCCCCACCCACTCATCAACTCTCCCACCACACTCCAGGCCCCCACAACACACTCATCCACTCACCCACTCATCCACCTACCCACTCATCAACTCACCCACCACACAGCAGCCCCCAACAACACACTCACCCACTCATCCACTCAACCACCACTCAACCACCACACTCCAGGCCCCAACAACGCCCTCATCCACTCACCTACCCACCACTCAACAGTTATATTTCTGCTTTATTCCTCCCATCATTTATTTTTCTAAATCGCTAATAATGATTTTGCTTCATTAAAAAAACGAGTTAACTAGGTTTATTACAACTGTGATGGTGTTTGGCGGTTGGACCCTGTGCTCGGCAGCTACGTTTAAATCAAACTACCTTTCTCTAAACACGTTCCTTCGGAGTGGGCAGGTAGGAACTTGGTTGGACAGCGCATTTGTGCACGACAGACAGACAAATAATCCCTGGTGGGCAGTGTGGAACCTGTTGTTCCTACCTGTATAAATGTAGTGTATCGTGTCGTGTATAGTGTAGTGTGTAGGTTAAACGTTGAGTTTTATAAGGGTGTAGAGGTGTTACGGGAGGGCGAACAAACACACCAGGGGTGGTTATGCCCGCACGCGGAAGGATGCTTACATCCACGTCTGCACCGTTTAGCCTGGGGGGCTAAAACGGCGCTGTGATCCCCCACGGCCCCACCCCTCGGTGGGGGAGTTGCTATATAAGGCGGTGAGCCGGTGGGCTCGGGGTTCAGTGTTTAGCTTAAACCAGCGAAGAAGGAAGACCGGCTAGATAGGCCCTGGGACTCCCCTGGATCGCCGTTCTTCTAAGGACCGACCAGGGCAAGCCAGTGGCGTGGCCCCGAGTGCCCAGAACCGATGCTCTTGTAAGAGCCGGTCTGGGGACTCAGGGTGCCGTAATCCCAGCTTGGCCAGAGCTGGGTCAGCTAGCCTCCCCTAGCTCTGTAGTGGAGGACCTGGGAGTAGGCTAGCCGGGATAGAGATTGTGGGGTTCCCTGTTAGACGGGTGAAGGGGCCGGATACCCCTTCGAGTGTTGTATATCTTGGCCTGTATATAGTGGAACGTTCAATAAATAAGTGTGCCTCCGACTACGTCGTCCAAGTCTCCTTGAACCTACTACAAGGGCATCACGGAGTGACCAGCGCCTCCCCACCCAGCCCCATCCCTCTCACCCCCCATCAGCCCCACCCCCCCACCCAGCCCTTCCCCACCCTCCCCTCCCTATCCAGCCCCACCCTCCCCACCCAGCCCCTCCCCACCCTCCCCTGCCCACCGAGCCCCTCCCCACCCTCCCCTCTCCACCCAGCCCCACCCCTCCCACCCCCACCCTCTCCATATGCACGACAGACAACTAATCCCTGGTGGGCAGTGTGGTACCTGTTGTTCCTACCTGTAATAATTAATTACTTAATCAATGCCTCGAGTTTCCTGGCTGATTGCTGGCTGGGCTCCTCTCGACGTGAACAGTAACTATTGTTAGAGGCTGCGGGCCATTGCTGGATAACTGACACGGGACTATCCGTGTAACAAATAAACGTTGATTTGCATTAAAACAACGAAAAAAGTTCGGAAGACATAATAGATAGCGACACCGAAGAGGAGGGATTCACAAATAATTTAAAATTGCTCTCCGCTTTCAGATTGTGTTCCTATTCATTTCATTCTTTCTCCAGATAATATTTTCAATTTATTTCAGAGAACTTTAAACAAACTTTGCAATAAATGTTATCTTAGTATATTATTATTTCATTAAAAGGCAGATTATTTTTAGTGCTCCGAGTACAGGGGGGAGTAGTGTTTCCGCTGCAGAGTCACGGGGTCGCCCCTTGGCCCCGAGGCGCTCGCTCGCTCTCGTTGCTCGGGTTGCTCACCTGCACGTGGAAGCCGCCAGAGGGCGCCTGGACACCGGCTCTGGGGGATCGAGCAGGCGACAGCCAAGACGGTCCACGGCACGTACACACCCAGGAAAGCTTTACCGAGTCTCAATACTCTTTTTTTAGGAGGGTCATGCTGCATTCGGATCTTGGGCCAATTCTAATAATAGGTGATGGCTTTCGTGTGAGTTTATGGGTCTGTGTGAGTCTAGGGGTCTCAACGTGAATCTGTGTGAGCCAATGTGAGTCTATGGGTCTCTGTGTGAGTATGGGTCTCTGAGTTTAGAGTCTTTGGGCTTTTATGCGAGTCTATGGGTATCTATGTGAGTCTGTGGGTAACTATGTGAGTCTGTGAGTCTCTATATTATGAGTCTGTGTTTCTCTGTGTGAGTATATATGTATATGTGAGTCTCGGGTCTTTATGTAAGTCTGTAGGTTTCTATGTAAGTCGTTGGGGTCAATACATGACTGTATGTTGCTATGTGTGAGTCTATATATCTCTCTGTGAGCCTATGGGTTTCTGTGTGAGTCTAGGGTCTCTGAGATTACTGTATATGGGTCTCGATGTGAGTCAATGGGTCTCTATGTGAGTCTGTGAGTCTCTATATGAGTCCATGGATTTCTATGTGAGTCCATGGGTCTCTATTTGAGTCCATGAGTCTCTATGCGAGTCAATGGGTCTCTGTGAGTATGTGGATATTTATGTGTTATCAATCATCTGGTTTGAACCCCTTCAATGACTGAAGCGCAACGTTCAAAATGTTTGCTCAAAATATTTTGGAGGCCAAAACATAGAATTAGTTTAAATAGGTGAAGAGTTAAAATAATGGACTTCACTTTATGTATCAAATGTCAGCTCTCTACCCTTTCTAGAACATAATAATAATTACTTCAGATGATAAGTTGCATCGTTGTGGAGAATGTAACAAGACGCAGAGGATTCGCCTCCTTCTCAAATCTGCATCTCTACAATGACAGCTCCACACTCGCACTGCACCAACTGGTTACAATCAACCAGCGGCTGTCATTAATGTAAATGAATATCTCGTGCATCCTGGGTAAAGTTATCACTTTATTAATAGTAACGACACCTATAATATTATAAAGTATGTTATCACAAAATGGCTCTCAGAGTTTAATCACGCGTCGCGTCACCACTGCGCCCCATCTACCTCTGTTCCACTGACCCTGAGCAGCCCCATGACCACTCCTCTACACCATACAGGCACCAGGCATTAGCCAACGTGTGAAGCAGCTGGCACCGAGCCCAGATGCCAGTCTACTTTGCAATCAGAATAGCCAGCCCAGTGTACGCCCTGTATGAAGTCACACTGGCTCTGTTGGTCACACTTGGATACAAATATTCAAAGTATTTATTCTAAGTGGTCGACTTCCTCTACTCGTCTAAGCTCTTCCCGTGGAGCCAGTTTAATGCTGTCGTCATACAATTATCATGACCTATACCACCGATCATTAGCGTCCTTGTGGAGAATATAACTAAACATAACATTCGCCTTCACATACATGTCTCTCCAGTCACATGGTCTTCAAGCAAGCCTCACTGCCGATGAGACAGGCTTGCCTACACGTATACTTCTGTGTCCAACGCAGTCGGGTGACCTCTATAAATATTTGGCAGTTCGCCCATATTGATTCAAGCAAGTCTGAATGCTTATGAGACACAATCTCAAAACTCGTCCGGAGTGTTGCTTGTGTTGAATCAAATCTGCAGGAATTATGCATTACCGAAATCTTGAATAGATGTGTAAAACATACCTTTAGCTCTCTGGCCCTTCTCATGTGGAGGGACAGATGTATGGAGGCATATTGTTTGATTTTTTTTTATATAAATCTAATTAAGATAACATAAGATCGTTCGGTTTCTTTACACATCATATCTCTACATATCATATCACGTGTGCATGGTGTGCATCACCATGTACACAATTCACGAGGTCACGGAAATTGCAGACAGCAGTCAAGCAAATAAGCATCGTAACAACGGTTCTGCGGAAATGGCAACACGTGATTTGTTTCCTCTCATCAACGTTATGTTCTACCACCACACTGCAAGTTACAATCCTTCTCTTCATGCATCTTCCCTCGCACCACTCCACTTTGGAATTCCCTCCCATTGTCTGTTGTCCCACGCTACTATGATAACCTTGCCCGAATCAAGACACGTGTTAACTCTTATCTATTACAATTCTGACGGGTGATGTTTGTTGCATGGCCGCTTGGTGTATTGGGCCTTTGGCGCCTTGTGCTCGGCAACTGGTCTCAAGAGTGGCTGGGTACTGGAGCAGCCACCAGGTATGTATTGACTAGAGCCCTCATATCGGATAGTGTCACCTATCTGGCTTCATCATCATCAGCCATGATCAATCCACTGCTAGGTCAAGGCCTCCCCAAGCCACTGCCAGTCTGGCCTAACAGGTTGAACTAACATATGAGCATGCTTTAAGGAAATATTACAACACCAGAACCAAAAAGCACAACATTTGCACAACCTCCACCACCAAATATAGCCAAAGAAATCCAATTGCCACGTGTATAAGCGCTTAACACACACCAAATATTCTGTGAGCTCGCCGGTCAGTTAAAGAAGAAGCCTTGCAACCACGTTCATTGAGATGCGTCGCTTTGCTTGAAATTACGCCAATCATCTATAGAAAACTGCATAAAGTCAGAATTGTTGCCTTGATTTTATTCCTGGATTTTCTTGATTATGTTGGTTGTGAGAATTCTTAAACTCACCAGTGAGCTGAAACAATTCTAATTGGTGCGTTGTTAAACGCTTGTACACGCAACAGTTTCATTTGTTTGGCCGTGTCGAATGATGGAGGATCTTAACTACACAAAAATCATTTACGAATCATAATATTGTCTGTGAAAACCTGGTACGTGTTAAATTTGCACAGGCATTACTAAAATAACGTGTGATAACTGTGGTGCATGTCAATGGTGCGGATGGAGGTTTAATAGTGGCTACGAGGTGTGGGTGTAGGGATAGGAGAATACTCGTTGGCTGGAATTTCACTTCTTTAGATGTGCTCCTTCTTGGTGGATTCGGTGATCACCTGCACAGTCGATCACACACACGCACATTTTTGTAAAAAAAATACATAGCAACACGAGTAATCTGCTTGGCACAGCATTCTGCTCTGTGCTGTCATGGAACAGCTGTGTTAATCATCTGGCTAAGGAGGCACCGCAGGAGCTTGGTTTTCTTTTTCGTGACAAAGCCTCTTTAACTCCAATTATTACTGCTGCTGCTAAACAAAGCAAATATTCGGCCGAATCTGGAGCTCAGCTGCTGTCACACCTGGGGTGGAGCACCCAGTTCATGCCTCGCTACACTCGGACAGAGTTCAGAGTGAAGCAGCAGTCAGGGTGATTGACGATCCAGCACTCGCCGATTCACTCCAGTCACTCGGTCACCAGCGATCAGCCACCTCCTTATCACTCTTCTATTACTACTGCCATGGTTACTGTTCCCGTGAACTTCACCAGTGTGGTATGTTCAACCACCACACTGGAGGTCTGTCCACTTCTCTCTGCTTCTTCCCCGCACTGCTGCACTAAGGAATTCCCTCCCATCATCGTCTCTTTTCCCAAAGCATTTCTAATAACCGTGCTCAATTCAAGATGCGTGTTAACTCTGTATCTAGTATGCTGTGTGTTGCTAGTCACTTGACGTTTAGGGCATTTGGGCCTGTGCATCGGCAAAACGTCCATAATTCAGTCCAGGGGTGCAACTATGGCGGTGTCACGTGGCAGCGTTATGCGACGCATAGGGGCCCAGTCGGCCACAACGGGGCCCCGAATCGACAGATAAGCAAGTAAAACATGTTAAGACAAATAATTTTTTTTAAATCATGAAAAATTACCAGCGGTCTACCATGGGCCAAGCCAGATTAACGCATCTGGGCTATCGTATCAATAGAGCAGCAAAAAGTTGCACGATTCACCCCCTTTGACGAAATCCTAGACCGATGGGTCCAGCATGAAATCAAGACGCACAATAACTTAATTGTCAGTATTGTACCTTGACATATTTTTATTTATTAATACTGTCATTGTGAGACTGTCTTCCTCCACACCCAATACACGGTGAAACTTAAATGATATATCGTTATAGCCTGACATATAACTATATAAGTATACGGGTTAAAAACATCCGTAGCTATTTCAGTAAAAGTGAGTCGGGAGAAAGGAGGGGGGCCCACAGTCGTAGCTTGCATAGCCCCCCTAATGAAATTGGTAGCTGCACACCTAAGTCCCACACCACGGCCTGCACAGGACAGCGCTTTGTTATCAGCGTCTGTGGCCAACATTAAGCTATTAAAAAAAAAAACTCAAACACGTTCGGTAATAACGCTGCAGGCTTCAAAGGAAACAAAACATAGACATATTTTGGGCAATGGCCCGAACATGTAAACCTCTGTAATCCTAATCAAAGAATGCAACAAATAAACATCTGACAGTTCATCAGCATTGGTTCAAATCAGCCCAACTCTAATGATGAGACACTGAATGTCAAAATCGGTCCAGAGTTTGCTTGTATTGAACCAATGTTGCTTCTATTATGCACTCTCATAAGGCCATTTGGTTGATCGGATGTATAGAAATATCCTATTTTTTATGCTGAGGGACAAATATTTGTGCTTTGTCTGCTTAAGTACAGAGCTACTCACCTCCCCATCGCGCGTCTCAATCGTCTTGATGAGCACAGTCTTCTTGCTGTACACGTCATGGGATGGGCTGCACTCTGAGAAAGGAGATCGCGAGTCAGTCTCGTCAACAACACCAAAGGCAGCCGATTCCACCCTCCAGAAGCTCGCAATCGGAAGGTTGCGAGTTCAAATCCTGGATAGGGGTCGACTCAGTCCATCGTTATCCCCCCTCTGGGGTCCATACCACGAGTACCAAGTGGCGAGGAAGACAACAGTCATTGCCCGATGGGTAGGCTCACTACTGTCACAGGAATGTGGAATTTCCACAACTGGCCCATTAGTGCTGTAAACGGGACATGTGCAGGAGATCACTCTGGTAAGTAGCCTGGTGTGACTCTTCACCAGTGCAGAAGCCTGGCTCACCAGGCCTCCCCTATCCACATATCGTCAACGTGCCATCCTGCTCGGATGAGTACATATTGAGGTGGTGCTTATCTCCTGTTTATAGACATGATGAGCTGTTGGTGGAAATTCCACATTCCTATAAAAGGGATTATTCTTTATAGGTCAACCACTGTTGACTTTCCTACAGAGTGGAAATAATTTGATCACCCACAGAGGGAAGAAGGGCCGAGCCAACCCACAATAAATGTAAACATTTACCCCCCCCCCTCCTCCTCAACTCAACATCTCTCGTTTCACTCCAACAATAACCCTGTTCCATGGTCCGACAGGCACAACATTTTAACCGTCCCTAGAGATCAACCCCGCACAGGCACACTCAGACACAGAGCTGCTTCAGCATGGAACCATCTTCCAGACCCACCAACTCGTGCCGACAGTCCCAGCTGATTTAAATCGGTGATTAAAACTCTCTCACCACTCAACGTCTGAATTGGGAGTAAATTCTACATGAACTGGCCGTGTGCGCCATTTACTTATTTCTGTAATTAACGTGTGTGTTTGACTAGGTGAAATATACGTTGCATGAAGGCACACTGCGTAAGTTATAGATGTAGAATGTTCGCTTACGTATCATTACGTAGTTGCTATGCGCGTGTGCGTTGACACCCTGGACACCCTTCCTTACACGTGAGATGTTCCATCTCGAGGGATTTTCCACGTGCACTAGTTACCAGAAGTAGTCGAATCAAGACAACCCCTGTAAACTATTTAAAGAAATTTATTTTATACACAAACTCTATTTTTGTTGTAGTCAGAACATAAAAACTAAAATTAAGGAGACCCCACCTCTTATGTTGAAAGATCCGAGCTGCTGAATTGGTAGAGCAATCCTATGAACAGAAGAAAATACTTATAAAATTAAAATACTTATGGAAAATATACTTTTATTCTTCATGTCAAGGGGCAGATACGCGAGTGAGGCGCATTGCTTATTTATTTTGTTACTTATATTCTCCACGACGACCCTCATGGTTATTTTGTATTGTGTATTAAATAGTTTTGCATCAAGGATGCATATCTGATTGAGAGAAGCCTTGCCTATAAACAATTGTCAGCTCACCAGCATTGGTTCAAGCGAGCCTGACCGTGCTCATGAGACACTTGAGTGTTGAAACCGGTCGAGAGTTTGCTTGCGTTGAACCAATGTTGCTGAAATTATGCACTCCTATATAAAAGGCCGTGTGGCTGATGGTATTCGTATTTTATTGTATGTAGAGGGACAGATCTGGAAAAGAGGTGAATTATCTCCTTATCTAGTTACTAATTCTCCTTAATGACGTGAATAGTTATATTTTGCGATACCTCCCCCGTTAGCTCCGTGTCCCTCAAGAACCCGTTGGGCCTCTCACGCGATTTCTCATTTCCATTAATGACTCGTCATGGATGAGTGAAAAAAGTCTCTCAAACGGAAAATCGGCACGGACACCACTCCCGTGCCGCATGACATAACTCAAAACGTGGCCACTCACCGGGTCTCCTCTCCTTCCAACAGCTTGCGGTAGGTGGCGATCTCGATGTCCAGAGCCATCTTGACATGCAGCAGCTCCTGATAGTCGCGCAGGTGGCGTGCCATCTCGTCCTTGAGGTTCCCAATGTCGTCCTCTAGGCGCGTGATCGTGTCCTGGTAATTGGCCGACTCCACGCTGAAACGCTCCTCCATCTCTCGCATCTGGCGCTCCAGCGACTCATTCTGCATTGACGTGAGATCGAAATCATGAGGTCATCCTGGTCAAAGCCACTGAAGCCACCACACTTCCTCCAACGCTCTCTCTCCTCTGCCAGATTCCACATACGACATCCAATATCCGCCCTGCCAGTGTCCTACCATTTGGCCTGAGGTCTTCTCTTCCCTTTGGTCACCTGTCTCGGCAATCGGCCCTCCCCCCGTCTTGCCTGATCATATTCCACCATGTTCTCTTCCCAACTTCCAAGTTGCTTGGCTATCCTCCCTCATACTGCACACATTCCCCAACCAGCGTAGCCGTTCATGCTGAATCACATCTACAACACTCCCCTGCCACCTTCTCCTCCGGACTTCTCCCTGGGCACCTGTGCTCAAATGCCAGTTACCATTCACTCAACCAACCAGTCACCTGCTCACTCAGTCACTCACCCACACATGTTGGGGCCTTGGGCCTGTGCTCAGTGATTGTGTTAAAAAAAAACAAGGTATGCGTACGGCGCCCTTGAGGGAGTCGATGTCGCACTGCTGCGCCTGGACTTGGCGGCGGTAGTCCATCAGCTCCTGCTTGGCGGCGCGCAGAGCCTCATTGTTGCGCACGGCTGCCTCGCTCAGATCCAGAAACTGTCGCAGAAATGGGTTCAGATCATCACGTCGTCCAACCTGAAGCTGGATGAAGAATCCTCATGTTTACGCGATTTCAAGGTGAATACACGGGGACTGATCGGCCAAAGCAGTGTGCAACACCGAAGCCAATGCCATAGAGAGACTACAGCTGCGTCTTACATCGTGAGACACACTCATGGTTGAGGGTTTTGCACTGAAACGTCAGCAGTGAAATTATCCCTCCAACACTCCAACAACACAACGTAATCATTGGCGTCATTGTAGAGAATATAAGCAACAAAATACACAAGCAAATATGCCTGTATGTATCTGTTCCTCCACATACAACACACAAGTATCTTTTACACATCCCATCAGCCACACGGCCTTCGGGGAGTGCATAAGTCAACTTTAAAACAACATATTTTAGTTACATGGCTTTCCACACGAATGTTAATCAGCAACATTATTGGTCTCATCAGCAGTCAGATGTGTCAAACATTTAGAACGACTGCTTCTGATTTAACAGCCAGGTGGCTCAGAAGTAGAGTAAGTGGATCACAATCAGAAAGTTGCGAGTTAAAATCCCAGTTGGAGGAGGGTTGACTAAACTCATCATCCATCCCTTCGGGGTCGATACAATAAAGTACCGTTTTGTGGGGAGGCAAACAGTGGTTGCCTTATCGTTAGACTCGCCCCTGCCATAGGAATGCAACATTTCCACCACTGGCTCCGCAGGGTTGCAAAAAGGAGCCGAGCACTGGCTGACTCAATGCTCATAGGAGCAGCGGGACGCCATTTGGGCTCAGTGGGTGAAGACAGCGAGGGCACCTTGGACTTGTACCACTCCTCCGCCTCCGCCACGTTCTTGGCCGCGATGCCCTCGTACTCGGCGCGGATGTCGCGCAGGGCGGCGGTGAGGTCGGGTTTGGTTCCCACGTCGTACTCCACGTGCACCGTCTGCTCCTGCACCAGCACCTGCACCTCCCGCAGCTCCTGGATGCGGGACGCAGCGCGCAAATCGGGGGTTTTGTAAAAAGAAACGGTAACAAATATATAGTTAATAACAATTTGTACTTATTAGGCACCCGTCACGATATCTCAAGGGGCCATGCATGAAAATAGCAAAGGTGGTCAAGAAAGATCCGGGTGGCAAAAAGGGCCAGAGAGGAACAAAGTCGATAAGAAGAAAGCAGTTCTTAAAATATGTGTTTTTAGCCTGATCTCCAGGGAGTTACGCACCGAGGGGAACACCACAGTGAATGCCCGATCACCCCAAGAATGCTGCCAAGATCGAGGCTTATACATAAAAGGGCACCACTGGCAGATGTACTTTTAAGAACTTGAGTGGCGTGAGATTGAATCAGCTCTTGAATATAACGTGGAACTAGCCCTTGTGAGGCCTTACATATGAACAACAATGCGATCATTATTTCCCCTCTTTAACATGCACGCATCACCACCGCCTTGCAGAGACACGAAGGGAGCTGCCGCGGGTCATGGTCAGCGCACTGGATAGTCCAGAAGTCGCTGGTTCGATTCGATCTCCTGGCACAGCAGTTGAAAAAACGCCGCAAGTTTCTCAAATCTCCCTTCGTCCACCGCCTCTGTCCACCCAGTAGCATGAGCGGCGGCAGCGTAAATAGGCACAGCAGAGCAAGTCGATGGGCTGGTCGCGGGTGGTCAGCATGGAAGAGTAAACCAAATACCACGAGAGCTCCCTCTCGTGGAGACCCTTCTGCCAGCAGTGGCGTGAGCGAGCAATTGCAGGGCTGCACCTTTACCTTTGAACTGAGAAACAAGGGCGAATGTATCACGTGGAGGCAATTTTGATGTTGAGCTGCCAAGTGTGTGTACACTCTGGTGCAATGACCACCCGCAATCTATCTTGATGTTCATGTAACTTACGTTTACTATCAGTGATTTTCTAACATTTGTGACTTGAAATGTATTAATATTGTTCCATGTTTATGTATCATTTTGGATTTCTCCTGCAGTGCAGTTGTTTTTGCTATGATTTCTATTTTGTTCGTTATTGTATAGTACTTGTATTTACGGTATTCACTGGCGGAGCCAGTTGGGGGGGGTACGTACCTCCCCAATGATCTGATCGAAATCCCAAATTTCGATCGGATCATTGGGGTTTATTAGTAATAAATCGGCATTTTGCGACCCCTACTGCCACTGTGTAGCATATTATTATGTGCCAGGGACTCTATGAGATGATAGGACATAATTGGCAATAAGTAACGGCAAAGCAGTTATAAGTGACTCAGAATTGTGCGCAGTTGCGTATACAGTACACGACTTCCCTGAAGGCAAACTCCTTCAGCCAGCGCGATGCCGATCACACACGGTTCGAATTCGACCTCGATCGATGGCTGCGCGATCGCCGCACACGCGTCGAATAAAAAGCAAGGGACAAGCCCTTACTTATTAACAACTCCTATCATTTTTCATCCTGGCTCCGCCATTGACGGTATTGTTTTTGCCCTTTTATTGACCGAGGTCGGTCTCTACCGCGGTGTCTTGAGCTCACACATGGACAAACAAGACCAACGTGACAACTCAAATGAGGCGCATTGTGCTCCGAGAGTGAGCCGCCAGGTGAATGCACGTCACCTCATCGTGAATTTTTTTCAGGAACGCGATCTCCTCCTGCAGAGACTCGACCTTCCGCTCCAGGTCCACGCGTGCCAGCGTGGCATCGTCCACGTCCTGCGGTACGCGGGGACGTGGACATCATCGGCGGCAAATGCACAAGGGTACGCACGAGCGAATAACGACCTTCCCTCCTGTGAGTGCATTTTCTCAGCAGCGCTGGCTCAACGACGGCAACACTCGGGACCAGTCTCACATGCAGTGTCTCATTAGCAGATTCAGGCTTGCTTGAACCAATGCTGGTGAACTTCCAGATGTCTATTGGCAAGAACTCTCTTGTGTTAGATACGGGACCGTGACTGCGTTGAACCAATGTTGCTGAAGTTATGCAGCTGATTGGATGTGAAAAATACACTGTGCTGGAATTTATCACGTGGAGGAACAGATATGTGCAGGAGGCAGATAGTCTGCTCAGCTATTGTGTTGTAGATACTTCAGTTTTTTACACAAGACACCATATGTCTTTACTGTCCATTGCATAGCGACATATTCGTCGATATAGATCAAGTTAATACTTTTATGGATTTTGATGAATACTTCATAGCACTTTTACAGCACATGAAAATATATTATCTGGTGCACGGCGGTCCACGGAATATTGCGAACGTGGATGGTGCCGTTATTCTGCAGGTTCAGAAATTCTGGGACCTACTGATGTAAGCCGTGCACGTTACTCACTTGGCGGAAGGCCTGCAGGTTCTTCTCAGCTTCTTCGCGAGCAGCGGTCTCCTCCTGAAGCCTGACAGATGATGCAATATGAGGTTGGTGATGCATTCAATAACCAACAATTATGATATTTCGAATCCCCGACATTCAACGTCAGGCAACACAGCAATGCTATCTTGCTGCAGTCTACCACCGCGTTCATACATGTAGTAGTTATATTGGATGATGCGTGTTTGTTAATCATTGGTTGAGATACATTATGCATTCGTATTGATTTGCAAGGTTAATGTATATCTTAATTGTGATTGGTAGTTACTGTGAGGTTATGACCCGATTTAACAAGTCTGCTCAGCTGACACAGTTATTCTGGATTTCTGGCTTTTCCTGAAGTTGCTTGACGGAGTACGAAGCGGAACGTCGTGCATCCAATTACTGGATTTAGGTTGTGAGATTTACTCTGCAACTTCCCGGTGAGCTCGGCGCATTGTTCAACTTTGGCGCACGTGACCCTTTCATTACTGTGGCTGTGTCAGGTGGGGGAGGCTCCTGAGACAGAAATATGGCCCCATCATTTCGCGGCCCAACCAGAAACTCAATGAAGATTCCTCGTTTTTACGCGATTTCGAGGTGAATACACGGGGACTGCTCGGCCAGAGCAGCGTACACACCGAAGTCAATGCCAGAGAGAGAGAGAGAGACTACAGCTGCGTCTAGCATATTGAGACACGCTCATGGCTGAGGGTTCTGTACTGAAACGTCGGCACTGAAATGATCCCCCAACATTCCAACATTGTGGAGAAAATAAGCAACAAAATAGACAAACAGACAATATGCCCGTATAGCTGTTCTTCCACATCCAACACACACGTATTTCTTACACATCCATTCAGCCACACAGCCTTCCTCGTGTCAATGCGTACATTTTAGCAGCATTGGTTCAACACAAACACACTCTGGGCCGGTTTTGAGAGTCTCATCAGCAGAGTCAGGCTTGCTTGCACACACTGGGAAAATGCCAGATGTGTATGAGCTAGGGCCCTCTCTGTGGGTTCTACGTTGAACCAATGCTGTTGAAATAATGCACTCCCCCAAGGTCGTATGGTCGAGGAGATGTGTCCATAAATCCTTGTGTTTGTTACATGGACGGACGGATGGTCTGCTTGGTCATCGTGTGACTCGTAGTATTCCTCAGCAGCTCTGGTCTCGCTCACCTCTGCTGCAGTCGCTGCAGCTCGTCCAGAAGGTTGGCCCTCTCCACGTCTCCGCGGGCCTTCTCGCCCGTGAGCCGCTCCACCTGCGCTCGCAGCTCCCGCAGCTCTTGCTCGTAGAGGGGCCCGACCCGGGTTGGCTCTCGGCCCTTGAGCAGCGCCAGCTCGGCCAGCAGCGCCTTGTTCTGCTGCTCCAGGTAGCGCACCTTGTCGATGTAGTTGGCAAAGCGGTCGTTGAGCTCCTGCAGCTCCACCTTCTCGTTGGTGCGCGTCGTGCGGTAGTCGGCGTTGAGCGCCTCGGCCAGCGAGAAGTCCACGCTCTGGTTGGGCATGGCCTTAATGTAGGAACGGCCGTACAGGGAGGAGGCCACGCTGCCACTGCTGCCCAGGGCCATGGATCGCGAGGAGCGCACGACGCTGCTGCTGCTGCCCGCGTAGGAGCGCGACGACAGCGAGCGGGGGCTGTAGGCGCTGCCTGTGCCGAACGTGCGGCGGTATGACGATACGCGCTGCGAGCCCATGGCTGCGGAGGAGATGGACGAGGTGGACGAGGCGGATGAGACAAGCGAGGTGGAGCCGAGCGTCCAGAGAGCCCCCTCAGTTTGTCTGAGCTCCTCTTATAGGCACCCACAGCCCCTCCCACACCACCTCTTCGATCCGTGCCGCTCCGCCTCCTCCTCCCACCACCTCCTCCACCTCTCACCACCAGCAGCAGCTTCATGCGCCTCACAAACAGCATCGGCATCTGAGCTCCCCTCCTTGGGATGGACGCATTCCAATCCTTGGCTGCCACTACCTTATTATCATTGACTATCGTTCATCATCCTTCCTGGCCGAGGCGGGTTCCTGGCCAAGGCTCACTCCCTTCTCTTCATACCAACTCATCCCATCATCATCAGTGACGTCGTGGACAATATAAGCGATGCACGTGTGTCCCTCCACATACGTTTTTTTTTTTCCCACATCATTTTCCAGTGTTGAACAGGGGTAGCTGAAATGATTTACTCCCGGGCCGTGTGGCTAATGGGATGTGGAAAATATATATATTAACGTGGAAGGTTGGATCTGTGAAGCAGGCATTGTCTGCTTATTTATTGTGTTTGTTACTCACGTGGAAGGCTACTTGGTTGCTGCTAAACACCTGAAGAGGCGTCTGCTACAGCAGTATCTGGACAACTTGTAACTGAGTTTGGGCCACACAATGCAAGCTTTGAATTCAGGAGCCAACGCACAAATCAATGCATTGACGCCCTTTCCATCTCTTATGTAAACGCTTGGTGCCTCTGACAAGCGTGCACTTCCAACACTTAAGCAACGTATTAAACGTTGTGTATAGCATGGATTTAAGAGGAAAATCGCATCCCTGCCATCTCTTGCTCACACTACTGCTGGTGGAATGGCCTCCAGTAGACGGAGCTCCAGAGAGCCTCTCAGGGGGATATTTGGTCTGCTCGTCCATGCTCGCCAGACATCTTGGAAGAGGCGTGCGGGCATACCCACACTTGACCCCACCGCACGTGACCTGCCGATCATCGACTCAGCTGTACCCATTTACACTGCTAGGTGGACAATTGTGGGAGGTGAGAAATTGAAGAAACGTTGCACCGTTGTTTCAACTGCCGTGCTGGAAGATGGAATTAAACCTGCGACCTTTGGATTGCAAGTTCAGTGTGTTCATCGTGACACCAATGTGGCAGCTCCCGCCGTGTCTCTTCTAAGAGCTAAACGCGTTGTGTTTGCTGCCAGACATTTCTATATGTGCGGCAAACCGGTTTTTACCGGGTTTTATGTTTATGCTGATAGCAGTGACGCAAACAATCTGGATGTTAACTGCCCAACTGAAACAAATCCTGAAAGGTCCGACTCGCGGTGGCGAGATGTTAACTGCAGGAAGTCGTGGGTTTGATCCCAACCCTGATACCTACCATATATGGAGTTTGCATGTTCTCCCCGTGGGGATTTTCTCCGGGTCCTCCGGTTTTTCCCTCCATATTTAGAACAAACATCACGCGTTGAGAGTATTTGGCTGCTATACATTTCCACGTGATAAGCCACTTCGTTGAGCTATCATTTGCGGCCAAGTCACTTCTGAAAAAGAGCTACGTAGCTCAGTGGGCCTTACCTGGTAAAAGAAAAAAAATTGTTTAGTTTTGTTGTTTTGATAAACTCAGCTAGGGTTTCAGTAACGTGGACAGTGGTGGTCACCACGGTGCAAAATAAAATGCCAACCTCAGATTATACAACGTGAAAATAGACACATGCGGTTCGGTGTGACAGGAATGCGCGCAACGCTGAAAGAGCAAAACAAAATACAAGCGTGGCTTTCATCCAGCGTGGAGGCATCTGAGGAAGAGGGAGGATGGGATTGTGAATGGCTGGTGATTGTAGGCAGGTCGTGGGAACCTTCCCAGATCGTGATGAAACGTTTTCTCCATTGATATGAAAGCCACAATGAAGCGAGGTGGAGATTTATTTTACTGTGTCCAGTAAAACAAATCTCCACCTTTCTCCTCCCGTCTCACCCTGTCCCGGCATCACACGAGTTAGCGCCGGGATGCTGGCGCTCTTCTGTAACGATGCACCAGTAACTCGCAATAAACACCTCACCCGGTATCCCAGGCCCAATAGCGGAGCTGACGCGATGCAGTCATGCAGCAAGGCATGAAGACAATCAGGCCTTGTTTAGCGATAGAATGGAAGTGGAGGGCATCATGGGGCCAGTGTGGGGGTGAGGAACCGATTAATTTATTAGAGGTGCCTTCAAGCACCATACAAGAAAAGCTGCCCAGAGATGTGAGCCTCACCTACAATAAATAAGTAGAAAATTCACCTCCTATCCCTCCACGTAATTTTTTTTACACATCCTATCAGCCACACGGCCTTTAATTTCAGTAACAATAGTAAGAACACAATCTTTATTTGAAGCTTTCGTGACTGCAGGAATCCAACTCTTTGGTTCTTTCAGTAAAGTCACGTCGGTATAAAATAAAATAAATCTACCTACGTGAATTTACCGAAAGAACCAAAGAGTAAGAACACAGTCTGGATGAGGCGAAGCAGGCAGTGTGGTAGACCAGGTCCTCAAAATGGGTGGAGGCATCAACGAGTGAAGTCACAGGAACCGTAACCATGGTAGTAGCGATAGAAGAGTGATAAGGAGGCAAATTATGCCCAGTGAGTGAGTGAGTAGAGTGAATAAGTGAGTCCTGGTTCATAAGTTACTCCAACTGCTCGATGTTGAATTATATCGAATGCAGTGAAGTTGGAACTGGGTGCTCCACCCCGGAAACGGCAACGTTATAGCTACTACCGATGTTGCTGATGACATGCATACGATGTGTCTGCTGCCAGAGTTCCTTCTGCAGCGGTCACAATAACACGCTTATTAAGTGAGGCTATTTGAGGGAAACGTGAGTTCGCTTCACTGACCCCAACAGCACAGTGGTAGTCATGGCAATGAGCATTCCACCAAACCCCGCTGCCCAGGCATGAGGGCAAGAGTGCCCATGCAGATGGTCAATTTAGATTATCTCACACGGTGCGTTGGCATGGAGCACGATTGGTAACACAATAAACGTGGTGTACAAACTGAAAATAATTGCTAAACTGGCCAGATAGCCCAGCGGTAGAGTGAGCGGCTCGCAGTTGGATGGTTGAAAGTTCAAATCGTATTGCCTAAGCAATTGGAATACCACTAGCTTATGGCTGTAAACAGGAGATGAGTACCACGTCAATACTTATTTTAGCAACAAATTGCCTTTTAATTTAACAAGTAAAATAAGAAAATATCGGTCGAGAAATCCAATCGGCTGATAAGATCAGAAATTGAAAAAAAATCTTATTTGGGAAGACAAACAGAGGTCTGTTAATTTTATAACTCAAAACTACATTCTAAACACGCAATACTTTTTATATACTATTTTTATTTTACCAGGTAAGCCCCAAGTGAGCTATATAGCTCTTTAGCAGAAGCCAACCTGGCCACAAATAATAGCTCAACGAAGTGGCTTATCACGTGGAAATGTATTAAAGCAAAACACTCAAAATGCATCTTTATAAATGTGGAGGGCAAAACTGTAGGACCCAGAGAAAAATCCATGCGACCACGGGGAGAACATGTAAACTTCAAATATACAAGCCTCAGGGTCGGGATCGAACCCACAACCTTCTGTATATTAAGTGAGGTATTTAACATCTCGCAATCGTGGCAAGATGACATTCCACACATGATTGTAGCGTCCGCAAACCAGCGGCTCCCTCTCCACACGTGGCTCTCACACGAGTCACTCCACCTCCCCTCTCTGCCCTTGTCTTTCACGTTTCAAGGTTGTTTTGTTTAAACAGATGAGAATTTGCATTTGTGTTTGGTAAAGTGTGGGTACACCCACCTCTTCCAATACGTATTGTCAATGTGGAAAAGTAGACCAAATACTTTCTTAGAGTTTTCTATAGTGGAGCCCTTCCCTGAGCAGTGGCGGCGCTGCACCTTTACCTTTTGTCACAGAAAAAAATTAGCTCAAATATGGCGGATGACACATTACACCTGCACCTGATGGGAAGTTGACCACTGATGAAACTCAGTCTGATGCAGGGAGTGATCCCAGTGTAAAGTCAAAGTGATGTCATGCTAATCAAATTTTAATTTAAGCAGTCGGTGCTCATCTCCCGTTTACAGTCTTGAGCCTTGAGTGGCAATTCCACATTACTATAGTGGGGGCATGTCTATCCATCGGGTAACTACTGTTAACTCCCCGCCGCACAAAGTGGTGATTATTTCATTAACCCCGGAGGGATCATGGACCGAGTCAACACCCCAACTAGGATGTGAACTCACAACCGTCCAATTGCGAGCCACTCGCTCTACCAGTGAGCCACCTGGCTGGTTACAAAATAACACCAATACTTTTATCAACTGCAATTTACAAATGAGAACAGACATCAAAGCCGATAGACTAGCCGCAAACTCATCTGGCTCATGATGTTATCGACATGAGTTTTATACAGATGACCTGCCCTAACCATGCGCATCACCACCCACAATATCCCATACCATCAGCATGCATGCAGTCGCACAAAATCTCACCGGCTCTCTGCTGCCTGCCTCCAATCCATCTAGGCCACCCATGCGCCATCGCGATCGCCCCCGCAGGTATATTCGCCAGACTAACTAGGTCAGACATAAAATATGGATTGAAATCAACCAACATTTGATCCGTGACATTGCAAGTCGTGCCCAGCCAGTGGCTTACAAGGTCCTTTGCAACTACACTCGTGCACGCCACATTTTTAAATATCTGTTTACGTGTTAGTACATATTTGCAATGTATGTTTGTCTGGGTGAGTGCACACATGTGCAATGGGTTCACTTGAGAGACACACTAATTCAGGAGGCAACACGTTTATTCTACGGCCACAATGGGGTAACTACATAGCCAATAACCACCACGGGGTAACCATATAAACGGGTCAGGTCAGTCGGCACACTGCCTGACCCACGAGATGCCGAGCACGAAGACCGGAGACTGAGGAGAAGATGTAGGACGGCAGGTTCCATTCCAGGAGACAGCCCCGATGCGGCCCTGGGACCTC